GGGGGGGGGGGGGGTGCGGGCTGGCCCCCCCCCCTTGCCAATGCGGAGTGGCCCTGTCAGACCCAGTTGGCCCCGAGGCAGGGCCTAGCTGGTCCTGGCCGTGGGTCGGAGGGAGGGCGGGGGTAGGAGGGTTGGGGATTCCCTGAGGGGCGAACCCCAGAGTCCGGGGCACCACCCTCTGATCCCTTAGGCCCCAGCCCGTCACAGGAAGGCCCACCCTTGGAGGCAGCGTATCTGGGGTCAAGCAGGATACATGACCGGAGGGAAAGGGTGTCATGAGGCCCCTCGAATAACCCTTCCCGCCACTCTCTACAAATCAGGAAAGGTTTTGCCTCCACAGGACTGCCTCAAGATCAGATTTGACCAATCAGGGGGGCAGTTGTGTGGGCAGGCTGACCCACCGAGAAGTGGGTCATGTGACCCCTCTAAGAACTTCCCCCGTTGCCCTCTACCAATCAGGAAGGGTTTTGCTCCTGTAGACCAACCTGAGAGCCTATTTGACCGATTGAGAGGGGTAGTTCTGGGACCGGTTGACCTGCCCAGAAGTGGGTCATGTGACCCCTCTAAGAACTTCCCCCACCACTATCTATCAAGGAGGAAGATTTTTGTCCCCATAGAATTGCCCCAAGAGTTGATTTGACCAATCAGGGGCAGTTCCAGGGGCAGGTTGACCCACCCCAAAGTGGATCATGTGACCCTTCTAAGAACTTCCCCCACCACCATCTATCAACCAGGAAGATTTTTGTCCCCATAGGATTGCCCCAAGAGTTGATTTGACCAATCGGGGCAGTTCCAGGGGCGGGTTGACCCACCCCAAAGTGGGTCATGTGCCCCCTCTAAGAACTTCTCCCACCACTCTCTATCAATGAGGAAGGTTTTTGTCCCCATAGGCTTACCCCAAAAGTTGATTTGACCAATTGGGGGCAGTTGCGGGTGCAGGTTGACCCACCCCAAAATGGGTCATGTGACCCCGCTAAGAACTTCCCCCGCCACCCTCTATCAATCAGCGCATAGCACTCTCCCCAGAAGTTCCAGCTCCACACAAAAGAGGCCATCTTGTTCCAAAACCACGTGTTTCAGAAATCGTGGAAACGCTGAGAGGAAACATGGACTCCTTCACC